ACCAAGAACTAAGCGGAGGCTCAGAGGGGATCGAGCCTTTTCCGTTACTGGTCCCTCTATTTGGAATGACATTGAACATTCGGCAAGCCCCCTTTGCTGCCCATCTTTAAAACTCATCTCAAAATTCATTTGTATTCTTTGACTCAGCATGACTCAGACTTGATCTTAGTTTTCTTGTTTTGAGATTTCGACTGTCTTCATGATTCATTTATTGTTCGATTGTTTATTGTTGTATATATGATATTTGCTCCATGTACAGTGCTTTGGATACAGCGGTGGTCGTTTTAAAGTGCTCTATAAATACAGTTGAGTTGAGGAAACAAATGCAATTAACGGCACATTATTTTGATGTGAAATGTGCTCTCCTTCCTTTTGAGGTCACATGCTGCAAGGGATTTTTCAATCCAATTTATCGCCGCCGTGATGTTTTGTTCGCTGCTAAATCCGCTTGTGTGCGTGTGTGCATGTACACATACGTTTGTGTGTGTGGGTGTGTGTGTGCTTACATATATGCGTTTGTGTGTGTGTGTGTGTGTGTGTGTGTGTGTGTGTGTGTGTGTGTGTGTGTGTCTCTCTCTCTCTCTCTCTCTCTGTAAATGTGTATATATACATACTAATAACTATCTATCTATCTATCTATATATCTGTATATGTGTGTGTGTGTGTGTATATTTTAAATGTTTGTGTCCCTCAGGAAACAAATCAATTAGATGACTTTTCTACATGTCCCTTGTCTGTCTGTCTGTCTGTCAGACGAGCAGCTGCCAAAGCACTCAAACCCATCAAATGATTGATACCGTGCCATTTTTTTTTCTTTTATCCCCGCCCTGGTTTGTTTGATAGAGGTGAGGCGCTAAACGGTTGACTCTTTCGTCTCATTTTTCAAGTAAATCCCCCTCTCAAATGTCTACATGGACCACCTGGGCCGCTAATCCACTCACGTGTCGGCTGGATGCGAGGACGGAAAGTTTTGGATGTGATTATTTGTCCCAGTCTATTCGCTGATTAAAACAAGGTCCTGAGGGAAACTTGTTACGTAACGAGTAAATGTAAGCTCTTCTCGTCCAGCCACAGAATCCTGGTTGCTTCTGTCTTTCTATAGGTTAGCTTAAAAAAAAGGCATTTTTTTTTTCATTTTGTGCAATTGCCTTAGCCTTTTGAGAATAAAAAGTACCTCACTAGAGGGAAAGATCTGCGATTCATATAGATCTGGCTCTCAAGTTAATCACCGGCAATATGTGAGTACACAAACTGTTAGCAAGTTAGCATTTGATTTATGTCTTGCTAGCCAGTTGATTACCTGAATAGTGTACATGTTTTAAATAATCCCGATGGATATGCCTTTCTCCTTAAATTATTTTATCTAGCATACTAATTGTTAGTATCTTAGCATTCTATATCGTCTCACTTTATGAAATAGTACGTAAAGTTAGCATAACAATCGTTGGCAATTTAGCATTTCATCTGGTCTCGCAAGCCCGAGGGTCACCAACGTGGCATCAAGTATCCCTCAAGGACAATATGATTTGCCCCGCATCTCTAGCTCCCCATCATTGGACACTAACTTTCAAGGAATGTTGTAGACGTGATCTAGCACTCGCCCCTTTAAATGGCACCCGGCTGCAGGAAATGTTTAATATAAACTATAATATCTTGAATAATATAGTACTCTATTATTTGGAATAATGTGTGATCTGTATGTTGTTGCCTTCTGTACTCGCGTTGCTATCTTGCTATATGTTAGCACACGAACTATTAGCTGGCTAACATTTTATCAAGTCTAATTAAATGCCCTTTGAACATTTCTGACGATGGAGCTTGATCTATAATGCTTATGGATCTGCCTTTCTGTGCTCAAGAAGCCATCTTGCTGTCAGTTCGTCTATCAATATTAGCGGTTTACCCAGGCTCACTATGTAATAATCAATAAGTGAAAAAGTAATTATGTTCCCTACGTTGTATAATCCTTATGAATCTTGCTTAGAGCTTTATGCATTCGATCTTCTTTTATGTTATCATACAAAGTGTTGTTGTGTTGGTCTTCTATGTATCCACTGAGGCATGAGGTCTTTCCATATGAACTACAGTACATAGGTCCTCACAGCTGACGCACACGCCAAATTTTGCATCCGAGCGGTGAGCATTTGACAGTATTTCCAGGGAAATTTGATTGAGGGTTTTATATTTGCACCCGCGTAATGAAACCAATATTTTTGCGGCAATGTGAACTAAGCGAATTACAAGTGTCGCAAACAAAACGCAAAGTCCCCCGTTGGCACTGAACGCTCATGATGGCTGAGTGTTGATCCATATCCGAGCGTTCCATATGTTTCCCGCCTAACTTATTGCTTCCCCCATTCCCAATAAAGTGGCAGCATAAAAAGGCTTTTTACAGGTCCTGACGGGTCGCCGCGACTCGCGGCGACGGCGTTCCGAGCTCGCGGGGGCTGCCGCGATGACAAATGGCAGCCAGTGCATATTTTACTACGGCCATTTACAATGCATGATGCCCTGCCCAGGCTGCAACAAAATGACTGTGCAGAAACATAATTGAGAGGGGAAGTCATGCAAAATATGCACTGATCCTGCACCTTGTTTTTGGAATAAGTGTCACAAAAATAAGTACAAGAAAAAGCAAAGGGCATGACTTGTGTTGTCATATCTGGCATGGTTCGAACTATGAATGTTGCGCAACATTAGAGGTATGAAGAATATTGGTCGGTTTCCAGATTTGGTCAGGTTTGCTTACTAATTAGAATGTTAGCATTTGTGATATTCTCATTAGGCTTTTGAAATGCTCTCTGATTACAGGGGATGATGTGTAATCTTTTCGGTTTGGCTTTTCGCACTCATGCTGCACTCTTGCAACCGTCTAGCGTAGCAGTTGTAAGCATGCTATTCAGTCTCATTTTTAGATACTATGCGAGTATGGATAACTCTTACGTCTGGCGTTGTGTAGTCAATTTGCTCATATGTACATCATGCTGGCGTACCGATTGAAGAGGATGTTAGTCATGTTTTATCCAGTTTGTTATATCTTGCAAACCAAATGTTTGCATGTTAGTATTTTTTCCTGTCTCATTACCGTTGTTATTGTATCTCACTATAGGTATACCATAATCCATATGGGTCTATCAATTGTTAACATTTTAGCATTTATCAGTTCCCATGAACTTTTGTTGTTGGTTTTTTTTTTTTTCTATTGTAGATTTTGTTTTCAGGGCATGACGTATAATCGCTACGGAGATTCCTTTCTGTATTCCCGTTGCTATTTTCCCACGTTAGCATTTTATCCTGTCCTGTGATCTTTTTGAACTACAAAGTAGGATAATTTGTGCCGTTTCTAATTTTTATGTAGTTTCTTTTATGTCATGGGTGAAAACTGTAGAAACATCTCAAGGCACACCTAATATGAAACTAGTCTCTTGACCGGTCTCACCCGCTGGCATCTGGATTTTGGCCTGTTATACTATCGCTTCTCCTTTCATCTCCCTCCTCTACTGCTCTGTGAGTGTGTTAAGTATTAATAGGCTGGTAAATGGTAAATAGGGCTGTCGCTTATAAAGTGCTTTCTACCTCAGGTACTCAAAGCATTTTATACTGTTACCACATTCACCTCCTGATGACGCAGCATCAGGAGCAACTGGGGGTTCGCTATCTTGCACAAGGACACTTTGATGTGGTTGCAATGGCCGGTGATTGAACCACCAACCTCTGGGTTGGGGAATGACCCATCTGCCACTGAGCCATGAGTAAAGTGAGGGTGTTACTGTGGAGGATTCTGTGCAGACAAAGCGAAATAGGTCTCGATGAGAGCCACTTCCCTGGAGGCGTCTATGCTGCGCTTCATTCCATCAAATGGTCTCTCCTGCTGTTTAAACGAACATCGTACAGCATCATGTCTTGTGATAAATGTTGCCCACTCAGCTTCTATTGCGGCCTGGCCAATGTGGAGTGGAGATCCTTGCATCTGTGATCCCTTTTGGAGGTTTCTTCATTTTTTTTTTTTTAAACCCCCTTGGTGTTTTTTTTTTTCCCTGAGTATTTCCTTGACCGAAGGAAGTGGGCGGTGATCTAGACGAGGGTGATCTCGTTGAGTTTTGTCAGTGGGCCTCAAAGTGCGATATAAATAAACTTGCCTTGACATTTCTACAACTTAATCAGCACCTTTCTGAACGGTGTCATTTAAAAATATGTCCGTTATTACCCACGTTAAAGCTGAATTCGTGTCATGGATCGCATTAGCTGATGAAACAAAACGCATAATTATACCGCGTTTGCAGGTTAAGAGGGTGGCAGGTCTTGCACACGAATGTGCAATCGTGTTCCGGTGCTGGCCGTGAGGGGGCAGTCGTCAGTCAGCAAAGCTGCACGCACACACGCTCCATGCGCGTGTGCTGCACGCGCCTCAAGTACTGTATGTAATAATGATAATAATAAAAACATGATATTAAAATACAGCTCATGCCGTGTACTGTTTTAAAAAAAGGCGCAATGGGATATTGGGGAAAGGTGCAACTTATTTAATGTCAGTCAGACCAGACGTGTGAATTATTAATTGAGTGTGATCATTTGAACGTGTGACATAATAGTTAAGAATGGTTAAGTACAAGAAGTGTTACATGCAGAGAATCGCACGCAGAGGGCGGAGGCATGGTGCTCTTTTCCCTCAGTCGCTCTCTTTCTCTCTTTCGCTCTCTCTCTCTCTCTCTCTCTCTCTCTCTCTCTCTCTCTCTCTCTCTCTCTCTCTCTCTCTCTCTCTCTCTCTCTCTCTCTTGCTGTGAGTGTGCGCGGATCCGCGAGCAGCAAGCAAGCAAGGCAGCAGCCGCGCTCAGTCCAGCCGCGCGCAGACACGCGTGAAGGGAAGTGACATCGCCCCCACGCTTCAAAAAAAAACCCTTTTCGGGAGTTCAGGATTAGAAAACGTCTATTGGCTTTGTCTGTTCGGAGCGGGGAGAGCTGAGATATTACAGTTTTTTTTTCCATCGATTTTTTTTTTCATTTTTATTATTTGTCTGTGTTTTGTTTGTTTGTTTATTTATTTTTTCCAGTGGACTGACAGCGGAGAGTTTCTTTTTTTTTTGGGTGGACATGGGGAGAAGTGGACTAGTAGATCGCTGGAGGTGGATGTGCGCCACGCCGGGCGTCCTTCTTCTCCTCCTCCTGGGGTTCGTGCATGCAGGACTCGGCCAAGGTAAACGCGGTGATCGGAAACGTGCCTTTGCGCTTGACTTGGAGCGTTTTCTCTGTAGAGGGTGTGTTAAAGTGCCAACAAAATAAAACCATTTGCACGTTTTTGCACTTAAATTACACACGTGTGAAAGCACCGTGATTGCCCCCACCCCCGCCACCCGCCAAAAGAAAGAAGATTAAAAAAAAAAAAAAAACCGCGTTAAAGCCACTAAACTTGCTCTGTTGAGGTGTAGAAGTAGGTGACTCGACCACACAGACCAAGAATTAGACTGTTCCCAGGTCAATAAAACTACAAGGCATGAACTTTTAATCTATCAGTAATGTGAGATCTATCTATCTATCTATCCACCATTCATCCTCAGGATTCCCATGGCACATCATACAGCAAAGCTCGTCAAAAAATAAATGCCTCCCTCAAATAGAAGCCTGCTTTTTTTTTTTTCTCTCAGAAAAAGCAGGCAGTCATTCTGTAGACGTTGCTGTCCACCCATGGACATTCACCAGTCTTCGTGCATCATTTACTTCAGCAAAAGAAATGTCTCCCTCAAAGTGACACCGTGTCTTTTTCTTTCTGGAAAAAAAAAAAAGTTGTAACTGGAATTAGGTGAGGTGTTATAAAAAGTTAGCTGTTGTTGACGCTGTTTGAACTATATTGCTGACCAAAACAGCAACACCTTTACCAATACATCTATCTTTGGGGGCGGCCATTGTGATGATATCAAAGTGTCCTCGATCAATATGCTGAACCCCCAGTTGCTCCTGATGCTGCGTCATCAGTAGGTGAATGAGGTAACGGCATTAAAGCGCTTTGAGTTTGAAGTGTAAGCCATTTATCCATGATGAAAAAAAAAAAATCTAACAATTTTTTTTCCCCCCAAGACACAAACACGAAGCTCAAATCAGTCTCATTTTTCCTGTTAGGATTTTTTTTTTTTTTAAATAATTGTCTCATTGAGACGCTATTGTCCACACACAGACATTCATGACTCTCACTCGGGTGTGTCATCTACTTGAGAACATTTCACGGCGAACTCCATGTCAGGAAAAAAAAACAAGTACAAAATAACTGTAATCACTTTAGACACAGCCTGTGGACAAGAGTTCAATGTTGGGTCCTCCGTTGCTGACCAAAACAGCAGCACCTACTGAGATGCAGAAAGAGTCTCATAGCTGAATTGAGGTTGTGAAAGGATTCCAGGCTTGAAAGGATTGTACAATTTGGTTTTGTGGCGCAAGGGTGGGTGACTTACTCACTCGGAACAGTGGCCCTGAATATACAGCATGGTGGGTGCATCATCCATTGAATCCCTTTCCCTTAAATTGACGCCTCCAATTTTCTTTGGGGAGGGGCGGGGGGTGAGGGGAAATCAGTGCATTGACTTCAAATAATTGACACCTCGTGAGTAGCAGGATTGACCCAGGGATTCGAATACTGTAACCTTGGTTACTGGTGGTCACAAAGTGTCCGATGCCGTGTCTCATGGGAAAATTAAATGCCTCTTTCAAGTTCGCTGTGAGGAAATTAAAAAAGGTCACAGTGTAAGTGTAATAATTTCAGTTCATAGACACGATTGTTCACACCAGGACAATATAGAGAAAACTGCTGAACCCATTTGAGCTTGTGGTAACCAAAACAGCAGCACCTGCTGAGTCAGCATTTCTATTATATGTGAATTTTAGCTATTTGCGGGCTGGGCTGGTCCCAACAAAGAGTTTGAGTAAGTGGGTATTCATTCATTATGATTTATTAATTTCTTTGATTGAATAATTGCTCAATTGCCATCCATTTAACAATGTATTTATTTTCCTAAATCATCATTGAATATTCTTATTCTTTTCACTTGTTTTTTTTTTTTTAACTTTTTATTTGACCATCCGTTCAGCCCGGAACAATTTTTGGCACTCTATTGAATTTTTTTTTTTTTTTTTTTTTTAATCGAGATTTCAATGGAAGATAAAAGTTGAACGGAGTGTCGGGATGAGTGTGAAAAGTCTCCTTGTTTTTCCCTCAAGCTGAATGGTCGCAGACACGTTCTGCCATTCAGCTGCTGGAGAAGAGGGAAGGGGAGGGAGTCGGGCAGTGGAACATTGGCGGTTCTGTTTCTTCCCGGACCATTCCTTAGCTTCTGGTTACATGACATTCATATTTCCATCAACACACATACTACATTCACACACGAGCGCACACACGCACCCTCACACTTGTTGAGATTAGCCTTGTTCAAAACGGCATTGCAAACTGTTGGCATTTGATGTTGAAGTTGTGTGAGACTGTTGGCATATCTGTGTGGATCTGCGGTGTAAGGATGCTTGCACTGTGCTCCTATGTGGCATATAAGTGTGTATGTGTGCATATGTAGGTGTGTGTTTTGTACATATGTGTGAACCAACATGTTCTATACGTGGGAGTTTGTGTGATTTTTTTTTTTTTTGTTGTTTTTTTTTGTGTGCGCGCCAACTTGGCTTTGCGGTAAAGATCACATGTTGTTTCTTTCTTTGTGTGTGTGTGTGTGTGTGTGTGTGTGTGCGCACGTGTGTGTGTGTGAGTGTGTGTGTGCGCGTGCGCGTGTGCGCGCGTGTGCGTGCATGCATACACTTGGCATGACGATATTGCCAGCGCTGCCGTCTCCTGCTGTCGCCCATTATGCTGCGATCCCGTCCCATGGTGCACTGCTGCAGCCTTTAAGGCTTCACAGCTGGGGAGGCAGAAACCCAAACGAGGCCAATCCGATTGGTCGCTCTAAAGCGACCAATGAGCCGGCTGACCGAGCGGGACTCATTTTGTTGTGGTGCCTGTATGAATGCTGAATGATACGCATTCATACTAATGCCTATGGTCACGTTTCATTGTGTGTGAGAACAAATAAGCTGATAGTCAACTTATAACGATTTTTTTTTTCTCACTGGTGGTGGTAAGTGGTACACGCTTCTGCCTTTCATGCAGTCGGCACAGGCACGATTTAAGGCCAGTGCCACAATTTCAAGCAACGACCGGATCAAAGAAATGGGTGAGTTGCGTCAGGAAGGACAGCCAGTGTAAAAATTGTGACAACCAAATCATGCTCGTGACTCGCTCTGGCGACCGCTGAGATTCAAAATTTTAAAAAAATATAATTGTAATATACCATGCAAGAATTCAATTATTAATGGAATTTTCAAAATTTACAAAATTTGCAGAACGTAAAAAAATCTTCAGAATGTACATAATGAATTTCACACAAAATGACATTTTTTTGGAATGTACAAATGTTGACACATATTTGAAATCTAAAACAAAGTTCTTCTTCAATTGCGCAAAAATGTTTCATGTGTCGCGCGTTATTCAGGAATATTTACTGATGAGCTTCAATAGATTTACCAAAAGTCTCATCACCTCTGACCAATGAAATTACCAAACACGTCAGAGTTGGACCGCTGAAACTGTCCCGAGGGCTGCCTGAAATGAAATGTGTGTGTGGAGCGGTACACAGCTGTGCAGGAGTGAATATAGTAGAGTGAAAATAAGCATGCAGGGTTGAGTTTAATAAGCTGAGGGAACGAGTGCCATAAATACAGCCATCTCTACAGCTCTCTCCCTGTTGTTTGTTTGGCAATTGTCTCCCACCATTGTTGGCAACTGACGACAGGAGCTAGCCAGGGAAGACAGTATTTCTGGCCATGGAGCGACATACCCTGCATCTACCAAACACAGAACAAACGGATTTCCAAAAGCTGCACTGGCATGAACTTGTGTGCCTGATGAAGCTCGTCGGCAAATTGGCCTAATGTGAGTGGCTGAAAAACATTTTGGGGTCCCTTTGTGTAACTAGCCGCGTTCAGCATTGGTTTTTTTTTTTGTTTTTTTTGGTGGGGGTGGGGGAATTTCTTTGCGAATTTCCCATGTTATGACGTGGAAACCGCGGCTAAATTTAGCTGTTGCGGCTTTTAATTAAATGCATTTTGGCATCCGAAAGTAACGTAATCATGTGACTTCAAACTCATAAAAGAGTTTCAAAATGTATGAGCATTTATAAAAATCTATGACATGTATTACATGTGCAAAACATATGCAAAACGTGTTGTAACCTTTTACTCAATTTGTTGCACAACTATTCTCACTCAAGACCCAGTAAAACAAGAAGCACATTTGCAGTGTCTGCGACTCATTGTGATGAATTACTGAGACATTCTGTCCTCCATTTATTTATTTCCTGGGAATTCCGCATTTTCTGAAGGAATTTTAATGTCCATCTTTTTGTACATGGGCCAGATGGAGGGAGGAGGGTGAGGCCAGGTTACATGGGTGAGTAAGGGAGAGATCTCTCTGGGTGGTTTGCAAGGGCTTTGATCACGCCACTTGGACTCGACAACTACACGCACGCACGCACGCACGCACGCACGCGCACGCACACACACACACACACACACACACACACAAAGCTGCATTCTCTGCACGAGCCAGGGGAATGGGGAACAGTAAAAGCCCGTGATATTGGAAGTGAGATGGCTATTTTGAAGGAATGTAAGCTGGTGAAACAGATTTGGTCTGCCTCAATCAGCTTAGAAGCTTTGTTGAAATTGGCTTCACCGTAGCGCCAGTTATGATGGATGGTTGGCTGGATGAATAACTCCTTTTTATGTCTTGTTTTTTTTTTTTCTTCTTTTTTTTTTTAACTCCCTTCTCACCCACTGTCTCCTCTCTGCGCTTGCAGAAAAGCATTTTTTACTGACCTTTCTGAGCCTCCCTCTCCCGCTCGTCGCCTGCGGCCTTGTGTTCTTCTCTCCCATTCACTCATTACATTTTATGATGGACAGTGAAAAAAGGCATCCCACGCCTGCAGCTTTTTTTTTCTTTTTTTTTCTATTAATTCTTTAATTTGTTTGGAAATAGGTCCTTATATATCATACGACTTTTATTACTGTTACATCCAACATTTGTTGTTTTGGCTGATCAAAATCACTTGATTCTACCACTTGTAGGGAGACCTGGCTTAAATTTAACTTGGCAAATCTGGTTCCTTGTGCCTGAAAGCGCGAAAGAGCTTCACAACAAATATTTTTTTCTTTGCTGTAATTTTTCACGAAATTCTTGTCAAAGGAAAAAAAAGTGTTGAAAGCAAGCACAACATGAATCCAATTCCTATCAATTAAGCACGACTTTGAAAAGCATTGAAACCGTACCACAACAAATGTTCACCCGCAGTGCATGCTAGTTTGTTTATGTAAGCGTGAGTGTTTACTAGAGATTTTGCAACCAACTAGTGGAACACGAAGAGGAGCTCCTCGGTTTGTTCTCCTTTCCGCCGTCTCCCGCTATCAGTCCTTAATTCCTTCTAGAGTTTCATGTACGGCTCTGGAATTATGAATTTTTCATGGCCTGTGAAACCCGAGGCCTCATTTGGGGATCTCGTTTCCTGCCGTTTCGTCTTTTACCCACTGTGTGTGTGTGTGTGTGTGTGTGTGTGTGTGTGTGTGTGTGTGTGTGTGTGTGTGTGTG